TTTTTTTTAACGAGAATAAGCGCATTGGGAATAAAGGCATTTAATCTGCTATCTTCTTGCGTGTAGATTCCAATATAATTAAAGTAAATAAATAGAAAGCTAATGGACAGTTTCCTTCAGTCGTGCCATTCCCTCAATTTGTTTTCTATGCGTACTATATTGGCAGAAGGGCGATTTTTCCAGAGCTTCCGTATTACTTCAATTTTTTCGCTTCTAATAGTTTTGACGAATACTTTTCCAGCACAACATGATTCTTACTGAGCTTATTGCATGTTGACCTAATTCATTTAAATAATTGCCTGTTTCTATTGCTTCTAAGTCAAAATTCTCTCAATTTAAAGCAGTCACAACTCAAAGCAATTTCAAAGCTCTGAGCATTTATGCTTCTTAAGGTGTTAGTAATAATAATCTATGATAGAGAAACTCTGCAATGGTGGATGCGTTGCTACGAACGCTACGATATCGCTTTCGGCGGAGTTCAAGTCTTGCCACTAAATACCTTAACGATACGAATACGGTAAACTTGGCAATAGAAGATGAGCTGGCAGTATTAAATGATTTGGACAAGAAGGACAAGCGTAAGAAGACTCACAGCTGGCCAAATGGATCGATTACGAAAAAAGAAGCCAAACAAGGTGCCAGGACTGCGAAACAAGCCGAGACTCTGATAAACGTTACTGCTGTGTGCTTACCAAATGAGAAAATTGATAAGGGTAGGTTTTGAAGGTAGACTGCTTCTAGTTCGACGAATGCGTTCTAGTTTCGTGTTTTTTCTCAGAATTGATATTGTCGTCGTCTCTTGGCAGTTGACGATTTGAGCATTTAGCTCTTTTCTATATTTTCATTATCTTCGTATGCTACTTTTGAATTAGTATACGTGATCGCGAACTAATTTTGAAGTATCCAAAATTGTTTGCTTTTTGCAAAATCTTCCAACAAAGTTTTCAAACAAGTTAATAGGTGCTGCAAGGCGTTGTCGTGCTTACAAAGGATGTGCAAGAGATCTCCATAGCATCTGTCGGGCACCTCTGCAACAAAATTCTTGTGAAGAACGTTAGGTGGCGCGGAAATTATTCATTCGTGCATACCAATAACTATTAATATAGTCTTCGATGTCTTGATAAGTTTCTAACTGATCTATGGTACTGC